CTAAATATTAACATAAGGATTGTTATTGATGCTGTTATTTTCACTGCTTTGGATTGTTTTGTAAACGATATAAATGGTTTAATATGATATCCAAATATAACATCAAGTGATGTACTAAAACCCGTGCTACTAAATTGACATTTACTTCCATAATAACATTTGTCACATATACATGCTGAAGTTGATGGGCAAATTAAATTATCTTGAACACATGAGCCATTGTTACAATAATTATTACCTTGACAATCATAGGACACATGATCAAAAACAAAACAATTTGAATATCGATTTTTATCACAAACACACATATATTTCTCATCATAAAAACATTTTAATTTGAGATTTTCTATACATGGTAATTGATAATATTTTAATCGACGAAGAGTTTTATAATTAAGTACAGTTGAATTTAAAAAATTACTTATATTTTCACACTTATTATCTTGATTTATATTAGTAACAATATTTTCAGATTGAATTGGTTTTTCTCTTACTACAATAAGATAATAATTCTTTTCAAATTCAATAAATAATAAATTAAATGGAGTTGTATAAAATAATTCAATTGAATATTGATCAAATGGAATGTTTTTAAATCTTATTGTTCTTTCATGCTTTTTATCATGGTGTGAAATAATATAATGAGCAAAAACTAATGGTGGGATTGAATCGATTTTAAAATTAATATTTATTCTATTTGATTGATATTCACAATGAGATCCCATAAAATTTTCAGAGCATAAACAAAAAAAATCATCATAATTTGTATGGTAATTATAAGGTATACATTTGCCATTATTTTGACATGAACTTTTATTCGATTGGCAATATTTATGTTGTATATAACATTTCGAACCGAATTTATTTAATGGACATAAACAAATTGATGAATTTAACGCAATTGAATCCGATGAACAAGAATGTTGATATGTTATATTACAAAAACGACCTGAATAACCTTGATCGCAATGGCATAATTCTTTTGTTGAGTTAAAATATTTAAAACATTTTCCATTTGTCCCGCATTGAATTGAACAATTTGTTAATGGTTGAGATTTTTCTGATGGAATACGGAGTTGTGTTGCTATACGATTAACTGGTAAAAATGGAAATGGAATAGATAAATTCCAACTTCCATAATAATTTAATGATGTTGATTTTTCATAAATATCAATACGTATTGAATATGTATGATTGACATTTTTTGGTTGATCAGGATAGAGTAAATAACGGTTGTATTTTGTATTACAATCTTTTGATGAAATATAATTAATTTTTTCATAATTATGTATTATTTGATTTTTATCATCAATTAAATAAATAAATATGTCATAAATAGAAAATTTATTTTCATGTGAACCTGCTGGACGTATTTGAAATGTTAAACTAATACGTTGATTTTGCCATTGACATCGATCACCGTAATAATTAGGTGGACATAAACATTTCTTTTCAAGTGATTTTCCTTCAAATATAACAATTCCACGATTACAATATTCAATTAATTCAATACTAGTTTTGATTTCGAGAGGTTTTTTTGGCTTAGTATTGATAGATTGTTGAGATGATAATGATGTTTCATTTATTATTGGTGGAAAATATCCCAAATTCCATGTAGAAAAGTAATAAACAGAATAGAGACGATCATAATCATGATCGACTAGGTTACATGATGTTCCATTATTATACAAATCTACTGAGAATGTAGAGTTAAAACGAATGTTTTCTTTTTCAACAATATTGCATATTAATTTTTGATCATTAGTCGATGAATAACCACAAATATCATTTTTTGTTAAGCAAGTTTTTTCTTTCCATGATATATATTCTTTATTGATATTAAATGTTAAATTATTCGAATAAAATATATTTCGACATAGAATATTATTAAAATTGTGATTAATACAATCGACTGGTTTTTCATAAATATATTCTTGAGGAATACAATAATAATTTTTAGTTGAATTAATAATTTCACATTTAAATTCATTAATATTACAATTAACATTAGGACAATTTAATTCATCGATACCATTAGCACATTGAAAAATATTATCACATCGAGTGTATGGAGTATGACAAGGCCACCATTCACAATTGTTTTCATCGTGTTCCCCATCGTCTTCTGGTGGTAACTGTGCATTCTGATTTATATGATTACAAAGATGTGAATATACAAATATTTCCTGATTTTCAAAGTGTTCATCTTCTCCATCTTTGCATTGAGGTTTATCAAGGCCAATACCTATAGGTGATAAACATTTTTTTTCTGATGTACAATTAAAACGTTGAGTATCATTTAATGAACAACTAGCGCTATAACTTTCATCTTCACCATAATAACAATCCAGAATACCATCAATGAGACGATGTTTCGATATATATTTATCAGATTTTTTACAATAAAATAAAGATGAATTTGATTTATACTTAATAATATTTCCCATAAATCCACACATCTCAGAATCATTTCGTAATCGAGGTGCCAAACTCGGACGATGAAATTCATATCTAGGAGCTAGACGACAATCTAAACCATTGATACGATTTGTTGTTTTTGGCAAGTATAAACATAATCGTGGATCGGTACAGATGTATTGTGGCCATCCAGCACCATTACCACTATTGATCAAAAGTTTTTTTGAATAAGTAGGTTGAAAATAACCATAGAAGATAGGTTCACGAGGAAATGAAAGATATTCTAATGTACAATCTATTGATAACCAATTTGCACGTAAACAATGTGTTATATTGTATGTATCATTTTGGAGAACGTTATAAAAACCGAGTTTACAGTATAATAAAAGATAACAATCATCCGAATATTGTTTGACGGATTTATACATTGCCTGACGATAGTAGGCAGCACGACCTGTACCTCGACAAGCAATTTGGTAAAAATCAAAAAGATAAAAAACAGTATAATAATTTGTACAACTTCCATCGCCACATGAAAATTCATGTGGTTGACGACATGTTCTCTCTTCACAAGCGAACATCATTGATTCGATACAGTCGAAACGTTGTCTATCAAGCGCAATTGCCTCCAAACTATCATCTTCAGCCTCATCTGTTCCATCCAAACAATCTTTACTTTGGTGATCATCACGAAAGAATTCAAGTGGAATACATTGTGCTCCATTATGACATCGATATTCATCTTCTTTACATTCATTTATTTCAAGTTCGTTACAATATTCTTCATCTATACCAAGATTATCTCCAATACAATCAACTTTTCCATCACATATTTCACGCCAATCTAAACACATCGGTTCAGGACCACGATTACATCCAGATAAATGAGGATAACAAGTATGTATTAAAATTTTTCCGTAATAGCCTCTACGAGCTATAAATGAAGAATTTACGAAATCCCCAAATGATTCAATAAACATATTCAAATGAAATGTATATTGACAATTCGAACCAAACCATAATGATGAACAATTATTAAAAACAAATTCATCGAATTTTGTATCATTTTTAATGAGATATATAAAATATTGTTCAATTATATCAATCGATATTGACCATTGAAGAAGATTTTCACTCGTAACTCCTTGTAAACTTAAATTTTTAAATGTATATGTATTTTCTATATATCCTTGTATTATATTAGTACGATCGATTGATAATGGACGTCGACAATAAGGTATCAGATGATTTGCTCGAAATGAAACGTGTTCATATGAATAACGATCATCAACAATATACGAATCAAAACAATCGAAGATTGTTTTTGAATTATCATTTGTATTATACAAAAATGATGCATTCGATTTAATAATTATCAGCGGTAATAATATAATAAAATATAACAATTGCCAATGCATCATAATAATTTTGAAATATATAAACTAATTATTATTATTCATATATATATATATATATAATTTTTCATTTTATCATTAACATAAAACAAGGAAATGGAAAGTAACAATATCAATATTGTTGTATATTTATCTGAATAAAAAAAACATGATTTTCATCGAACTAAACTGCCAAATCAGATAGGAAATGCGTAATTCCTTTAGGAAACACATCTGTATTATGTTTTGTTGTAGAAAATACAGTATCAATATTTAAAATACTTTTATCATATTTTTTTAGCTTACAGTATGATAAATACGTGTGAGTGTTCTAGCAATTTCTATATCTTTTCAATGAACACTAATATTATCAACATTGAACATTAAATAGTTTAAGATTATTTTATTAGTTAAAAATTCATTAATTATCTTCAATTTTTAAAATTTTATAATTTGAGTATTCAAAAATACAGATGTGAGATCAACAAAACATTCACATCTGTATCCATAACCATATACAGTTTGAACCTTATTGGTAAGACGTATCAAGATGATTTTGTAATACTCTATCAAATAAATGATATATTATCAGACTAAACAAGAATGTGAATATTTTATTCATCGAATGTTTACATCCTCAAGACATTTTATAAATCTTTCGTTATCCGTTATGTATAAAAACATTAAAATAATATGCACACTTTTTCAAAGTCAGTGGAACATATATATACCATTTTTTTTTGTTTTTGGTTAGTGAGTTTTAATGAATTGAAAAAATCGATTGTGATAAAAAGCACGATAATAGTGCATGAACCGTATTGATTTCCCGTTGTTACAGTTAAAAAACAGAGAAAATAATGGTGTATATTTTCTTTTTAACCGTGTAATAAGTAAGATAAGAGAGAATAAGAGAATTTAAACGATACTCTTGGAAAGAAAAAGAAAAGAACGATCTATATATGTAAATGTATGACGCATATTGATGAATTTTAATAGAATAATTCTCTCCGAGATTTTTAATTGTCTTTTGATAAGTATGAGTCATTTTACAGATTAAATGACGACAATGACAAATGAAATTAAAGAAAATATATCAAATGATATGTATGTCAGTAACGGAGGTGATACGAGTCTAACTTTACTGCCATTATCAGTTTTTTATTATACATGCATACTATATTTCTATTCTCATTCCGCAAAACAATTTCAATCGCCAAGGAAGTGTTCTGGTGTATTACCATCATTTTTCAATTTATATAAATTTTATCTTATTGTAAAATGAGAAGTTAATTTGTGTATTATAGCAAGAAAAGAATTATTTCATTTTTCTTTTCTTAGTAAAGCTTTTGTATAAATTATACTCATCTTACTTGCTGCAAATCTAGCTGACTGATCTGTAAATATTGACAGAAATTTGTTATTCGAAATTTGATCTTGAAAGGATTAAAGAAAAACAACTTTTTGTTTGGATCTAAAATTACAAAAGATTAATCATATACATTTCTATTTATTTCATTCTACTAGTTTTTTTGCGACTATAAGATGTAACTTGCTTAGAGCTCGCCTTAAATTTCTTTTACGGATTTATTTATTTTTGAATGATTTTTTAACTTTTGTAATAATATGTAAAGATATTTATAAGTAATTAAATGCTCATTAGTCATGCATTTGACGTTATTAATTCTTTTTTGAATAGACGAGTTGTTATCTGATTTCCAGTGTAATTCGAACGCTTACTGGCTCTTTTTCTACATTATTTGTTTTCTTGAAGTAAGATATTTCTTTGAAGAATTTTGAGTTAAAGTAGTAGAAATTAATGTAAATAATAATCAATATAAAACTGCTAAGAAAAATACAATCGATTTTAAAACAAAAACTATGAGCTATTTTATTTGAGTCTCAATATAATATCGTTCACTTTGATTTCATATCGTTAACTTCATGAACCTGTTCTTTTACTATTTTCATCTATCTACTGTGTATGTCATATATTCTTAGATGAATTCGACATAAAGCAATACTTCGACTAAAATATATTGTGTTAATAAATTTATCGTTTTCAGTATACTTTAATATATAGTTTAGCAGTATTCGATGAATAAATATGTTGTTATTATATTTTTAGGGAAAATTATAAAATTTGTTTGTAATCATATTAATAGTATAACTCATCATAATTTGTCAATTGTTATTAGATATCCAAGATTCATTTATCATATTGATAACTATATTTATTCTGATTTAAATCATTCATCAATCATTATCAGTTCATGGTTTTACCAATAGTTTAAACCAAGAAGTTGACATCAGTCATTAATTGCAGTTAAATCAAGTTGACTCACATGAAATTAGTAATGTAATGTATGGTTATTTATACACATTAAATTGTATATTAGTATAGGAAGTATAGCTGTCAGTACGCCTTGCCGTATTACTGAATACGATTTCCGGGTTTGAAAACGGGTTTCTCGAGTTCTAACTTGTTTTACATGTTTATATGGATAGTTTTGAAGATATTCTACGACAGACTATTAATCAATGTTCTAAATATCTTGTAGTAGATGAGCATTAAACGTTTCGTAAATCTATTTCTAGTTCAAAGATGCTCGAATTGATACAGAGGAGATGAATCAAATCGTTATTGCTTATTGTTGTCATACATTTATTTCTCAGAGTAAATACTGTGATATTCATCATGATTGCAATGTTGATTCTGTTATTGTATTGGAGCAAACAAACAGCTCAATTAAAAAGTCATTAAAAAGATACAGATTGTCAAATTGGTAAAGAAAGATTTGATAATTATTTTGAAAACGCTCGCGATCATTTGGTTTATTAGTTCCAGAATATAATCCTATTCCACAATGTTGTACATTGCAGAAACTAGTTTCTTTCGATACCGAAACCTCCATCATCAAACGATAGATGCGATTGCTTCGACATTGATCGAGTTCTGTCAGTTACTACCGATTCCAAAATTGCTAACCGGAACTAAACGTCAACGTTACCCTCATGTGTTGTGTACTATTTGAATATTATTTGATATGAAGCCGATCTGATTTCTACTGATTTCAGAATTTCGAGAATTGACTGAACTCGAGTAAAGTTGAAGAGTCCTTTGTATCCGGGATGACGATTGAGTTACCAAAATTGGAGGGGACTGACTCCGGCGGCGAAAATGTTTTCACAATATTCAATATTGCGAGGGCGGGTGTGGAGTGGCTGTGGGTGCTAGGTAAATACAGTATCCATACCCACATCCACATCAACACCGATACTGACACTTAAATCCACACCCGCACCCACGTCATATGTATGTCATCGCGATAAATATTAATGATTTTCATCCCCCATAGGATCATTTTGTCGGTAATTTCCAAGTATAAATGATATTAAACAATGTTGGATTTTTCTTCATACATGCAGAGGTATATACATCATTTTATCATATTTTTTTTTCTTTTCTTCGTATATAAATATTGTTACAGTCATATCTTCATATGCCTTCACAATCTTTCACATCATAGCCGGTTTTTCGTTATTCACATTCTTTGCTTCTTTTTCTTTCTCTTTGATGTTTTTTTTCTTCATTCGAATAAGATTCAATGCGAAGGAAGGGTCCTCTCATAGATATATGTGAGACGTCGTTCGTGTATATTAATAATCCCATTTTTCAAAAGCTGTTTGATCACTTATACTTTATCGCAAAAACTATTTGGATCGATACGAATAGTTTGCATATAGCTATTTTTGCATTTTACTTAATCGTAAATCGTGTCGATATCTCTTCTTACCAATCATCTGTTCATAATCAAATCGTTTTTGTCTTTTTCTTTAGCAGACGCTTAGTATATAAAAAGAGAATTTTCAATACTGAAAAAATGCGAGTCAACGAAATTCTTTTATTGTTAGAGTATATAAATGCGCACAGTTCTGTGAGTTTTCAAACAAAGTTCTCTTTTTTTAAATATATCTACGTATTTGCATAGACACACGTGATTCTTTAAGTCTCATAAAAGAGAATAAAAAACGTATTGGTCTCTTCAGATACGTAGAGTGTTCGAGAAGCCAAACTTCAAAAGGTTTTCACATATACTTCGTGTTTCATTTAACCTTCTCAGTAATTGCTTTTAAATAAAAGGTTTGATATAATTAAATCCAAAATAGTGGAAGAGACTATTAAAATATCCTATTGAATGATAGGAAGATGTCAGAAAAAAACACTTTAGACAACTCTTCAATCACTCACTTCTCATAACAAAAACGTTTTATTTGTATATTCGATTGAAAATGATAGATTTGCATTAGTATGCAAGATTAGTTGAAGGGTAAAAAAATCGATATATATTCACCTTTTATCCAAAAATAATTACTCAAAAGATTAAATAGAATAGCTAATATATGTATAAAATGTTATGTAGCAAATGAGTTACTAGACGTTTGTAGTTTACAAATAGTATCAATGAATGCATATAATAGAGAAGATGTTGCAAGTAGATGAGAATATAAAGTTTTTGTTTTGATTTATCTATAAATGATGTATGTACTTGGATGGATGTAAATGAATAACACTCTAAATTAATTATGTTGACATATTTTTAAAGTAAGATATTTCGATTGTTTTAGAATAATATATTCACATATTTCCAGGTGAATCATGTCTGGTAATCGTAGAAGACGATTTACGCTTAATTTCAGCGATTATCCGCTAAGTATTCAGGAAGTACTCGATGCTAATTTTCTCAATTTTGAATTATCAAAATTTAATTCATGGACACCACATAATTTAAGACTTTGCTCTTGGTCACCGATAGTTGATGCTCGTGTGAAACAGTGTGCAAAAGCTTATGATGAAGAGAATAAATTGGTGCCAAGTTATAGATTTCAACCGAAGGAGAAGCCTGTGTATGTTGTTGCTGAGATCGAACCTAAACATCTCAATACAGGTAATAACCTACTATACTGAAAATTATTACTCTTATATATTTGCCAATGTCCATACTTGCATATACATCAGTCTGAGGTTTATTATCAAAGTGCAATTGAAATCTGACAGTGGCCTATGCTAATCTTATATAGAGTGGATCGTGTTATAAATATTAATCAATTCAAAATTCATGTGTAATTTATGTAATTATATTTTTAGGTGAAGAAACATCTGACCAGAAAGGTCTTCGTGATGCAATTCGTGCTCGTGGACAACGAAATGCAGATGGAACGCCTTGCGATGACTGTGGACATATTATTGCCAGATCTCTAGGCGGTAAAATGGTTCATTTTAATCTATTTCCCCAATGTCTTGCTATTAACCGCGGCTGGGCCGGCTTAAGTAGCTTATGGAAATGGGGTGTGGAATTTTTGATTCAATCATGGCTAACATTGCAAATAGTCTATGATCCTATGGTGCGATTTCACGTCGTTTTGGATTATCCTGAAAACTACTCTGATTATCCTGATCGTCCAACAAAGATGTATTATGTAATCGAGTTTTGGAAAAAGGACGACGATTCATCAAGTGATGAAAGTAATGAAGAAGAAAATTCGATGCCAGAACGTGCTAATGTTGCGTCGATGGCAGGCATCGTTGAAAATAATATGGAAAGCTTAAGTGATGAACAAAAGACATATTGTAAGGAAGAGATACGTTGTTTTAGAAACCTTTTGAATTATCTACGTACTGAAACGCAAACCATTGAATTGCGTGAATTTTTGGAAATTAACATTGAAATATTCGATGATATTTTAGAAGAAAATGGCGTTGTTGTAGAAGAATATTCAGAACCGGAGTCAGCATCAGGTAATAGCGGATGGTTTTGGGATTTAGTGCCAATTGTGGGATCGATTCGAAGTCTGTCCGACGCAATTGATTGCGCGAAGCAAAGAGATGTTAAAGGTTATATTCTTAATTATACGCTCGGCGTTGGTGGACTCGTCCTTGATGTCGCAACGCTCGGTGCTGGTGCCTTGGCATTGAAATCTGCATGCAAAGGTGCAGCAAAATTAGGCGCCAAACAGATCGGAAAACAGGTAGTTAAATCGGCAGTTCAAGGAGCAGCCAAGCAAGCAGTATTACAAACAGCAGTTGGTGCAGCTGTTGGTGGTGCATTTGGTGGAACGAAGGGTGCTATGAGAGGAATGTTGAGAGGAGCTATGAGTGGAGTTTGCTTCGGTGCTCTAAACGGCGGAACAGCAGGTGCAGCAAAAGCTGCTATCAAAAGCGCCGGACAAGAATCTGCTAAAATAGCGACTCAGGCAGCAATGGATGCAGCGAAAATAGCAGGTACTACAATAACAAAGCAAACACTCGCTGAAACGGCTAAAGTTGCTGCAAAAGAAACCACTGAAGGAATAACAAAAGCAGCAGTTCGTGACGTGTTAATCAAAGAAATGGGTCGTCGTGCAGCCCGTTGTGCACCAGAACTTATTAATGATTTGGCCAAAGAAGCTCGCAATTTTAGACCAGTCTTTTAAATAAATATTTTATATCAATTATCATAAAATAATCATATATTCCATGAACTAACTTTTTGATAATTTTGTTTTCTTTCTTTTTTGCGCTCCCTTTTTCTGAAAGTTAAATAAAACGAACTCTCACGTACAACGGCAATAACACTTAAACTATCTTGAGGGTGAGATGAATTGCCATGATTGGTCTCGTCCTTACGTAAGAGACTTGCCTGGTGAATTTAGGTGTGGGTGTCTCCATGGATAAGATGTAAAGAGACGATCAGATCCACATCCAAACTACACCCATATCCACACGCACACCCGCAGCTTCACCCTCACCCTCACTCATCCATTCACCCACACCTTCACTTTCATAGCAAATCTGTGATAAGAAAATGAAGAATGACTTATCTTTTTGAGTGTCATCACTGGGTTTTTTTGCAACTTCTAAGATAAATAACAAAGTCAATACACAGGTAAAGTAACGATGAAGTACCGAGTGTTGACACCATTGTGAGGATGGGTGTGGATGAGGGTGTGAGAGATGCGCAAGTGATCCCTTCCAACATCTACATCCATATACCCCACCAATACCTATACCCGCACATCCATACTCACATCAACACCTCACACCCTACTCATATCTAAATTCACAATCGCCCACCCATAACCACCCTCACCCACACCTACTGAGGACCTCTATAGCTCTCTCTTGATTCGAAATCTCTGTTATCTTTGGATGGAAGGTTGGAAAGATAAATATATAAAACACGTATGATATATTTCAGTTATCTTTTCTTGTGATCTTCATTTTAATGAAATGGTAGAATCGACACAATTAATTCTTGCCGAACTTGAGCGGATTGGATTGATTATTCAATCAAACAATGCCATCAAGAAATCGACTGTGGCTTTGGTGAAGGAATTTCTTAGAGTTCAAGAAACTTTTCTTCGTGACGTGGATGAGCTGTACAAATGTTTGGGCACGATTGAGCATGTAGCGGATATTTTCCTCGATGAAACCAAGAAAAAGGACTTACAAGAATTTAACCCATTAGAATACGTTCAACTAGCCATCACCGGTTATAATTCAGTGGGCAAAACATCTTTCATGCATGAATTACTCGGTTGTGGCGACTTCTTGCCCGTAGATAAAGGTGCTGTGACAGCGCGTATCGTTAAATTTTCATACGCTTCTCAGGAGAATGCGTGTCTGATTCAATATGTGTCTGTGCGAGATCTCACAGAAGTAGGTGATCGGATTGATTTGTCCGCTCATTTCAAAAACGGAGTGAGTATAAAAGCCCGTAGCAAAGGACTCAGAAAAGTCGTCAGAGAACATGTGGGACGACCGGAAGATATGGATCAACAGTCAGATGAATTTGCACAATGGGCAAAGATATTTGTCGAAATTCGTTTACCCTCGGAAAATCTGAAGCCAGGTTTGCATGTTTATGATACACCAGGCTTCCTTGGATCGGATCCACTAATTCTGCGTGAGAATTTACTCGCACTAGTAGGTAGCGTTCTTCCGACTATCGTTTTTCTCTACGATAATCCAACAGGATCTGATGATTCACGGAAATGCTATAATGAGCTTAAAGTTGCTCTTCGTAGTGAACGGATGGGTGTCGATATTTTCTTTCTCAATACGAAAGCGGATGTAGCGATCATACGCAAAGATGCGAGCAATAACGATGACGATGAGGATGACGATGATGAGCAACTAATTGATAAAGAACGATTAAGCCGATATGAGCTCCTCATGAAAATTGATGAAATGAAAGGCGATGTCCACAAAAGAGATCTGGGCGAGATAGAACCTTCCTCTGACCAGTGTGAATCCTTCGACATATTCACTACTGCGTCACCTTTAGATCCCATGGAGTCAACAATCAAGCGCCATGCTATCAATCGAATCATTCGTTTTGCTGCTAAATATGATTTACGATTAACGAAATATGTTATTAACATTGTTCACGAGGCTATCGATGCATTCTTTGATTTTGTTCTTGTCACCAATCGACGTTCAACTGATGAATGGAACAAGCTACGCGATGACGCGTTACAATGGGGCGAGAACTTTTTCGAGCAATATCGATCTGCCATTGGTATAATTGCCAGTGAAGCGAATCGCCGTTTACCAGAACGTTTTCGTGAGAGACGTCTCGATATTGAGAAAAAAGCTATGGATGATTGTGAAACACGAGGAATTCGCTTGGATGAGCGGCTTGATACCGTATGTATTGGTCATCGTCATGGAAGAATACCGTTGTTTAACTTGATTAGGCGTTCAATACAATCCGTCAGAAACATAAATCGTGACTATCGCAATGATGAACAGACTTTCATCGATATTTTGATGGAAAGAGAAGTAACGAAGCCTGTTTTACTGGACATCATCGTTCAAGAGAGTACTAAAATTAAGCAAAAGATGAGTAAAAGCCACACATGTCATCGAAACAAAAATGAATTACTCTATGCAGCCTATCGAGAAGTATTAGTTGAGATAGGTAATTTCGGCGATATCAATCAGCTTAGTGCCGGACAGATATTTTACAAAATAGTCGAGACAATATTCATGTCTCCATTGTTAATAGTTGGTTTCATGACTTATAGCATTCCATTGACACTTAATTATCTTTTGAGTAAAAACAAAAATGATGAACGATTACAAAACGCACTGGATCATCGAAAACAAGGCATTCGTCATTATTTGGTCGATCTTGAAGCTACCGTGAACAAGATGGGCGATCAGATGAAAATGAACATGTTAGAATGGATCGCTCAAGAACATAATAAATACAAACAAAAAGTCAGGGGATATCACCGCGTGGTTTGTCGCACTATTCAAGATCGTCAGAAAGTGTTTCAACTCGCTCGTTTATTCGTTCCCAAATTTGTTCGTATTGAATGCCATCTCGAGGCAAATTTACATTTGGCCGCTCACCATGGATCTCGTCCAGTTGTTAGTTATGATGAAGTCTTGGGTACACGAGGATTTTTCACTGTCCATCCAGCATCATGGAATGATGAACATGGATTGGTTGCCAAGAAACTACGAGAGCACATCAATGACCAGAATTTCGCTTATCTAGAAGCTCATTTTCATCGAACAGTTACCAAACTTGACATTTCACACATGATACACTTGAAATACTTGTATATAGACAAGAGGGCGTCAATGCATCTACTTTTGCCTCGCTATTCCACTAGCTTGCATTCATTTCTTATCAAAAAATATGAGCAGCATGACAGCAGATAAAGCTATAAAAATTTCATGTGATATTGCCAGTGTCATTGCACATATGCACGCCTTCGATCTTGTTCATCGCGATATTAAAGTGGAAAATATTCTTATGGATGAACATGAGAATGTCTATCTGGCCGATTTTGGTACTTGTCAGCATGGCGCCGAGAACAGTACGCTTGTGGGTTCTTTTCCGTTGTCACCAGATCTCACCGCTCTATTACAGCTCACTGGTTCTAGTTCCAGTAGCGATCGGCAATACTCGTATGAAGGTACAGCAGTTGACGTTTATCTGCTTAGTATGCTCATGTTTGTGTGCGCACCGAAAGGAGTTTACATTCCTCCGTCGAACAGGATTCTTGAACAAATATAGGAGCTCGATAGAATGAAAGTTCCAGAAAACTATTGCACATTGATTGTTTGTTGTCTTGAGAAAGATCCAAAGCGAAGACCAACAGCTCAAGCAATTGCCGACGAACTTGACGCCATGACTGTACGATTATGCATTGTTTGCGAGGACGCACTACGCTCTGTACGCTTTCAACCTTGTGGACATAAAGTGGTGTGTGTCAAATGTCTTGCTGAAATTCAACAAACGAAAGTTCTACCACAATGCATTGTATGCAACCAAGTTTTCACAAGTATAGAAGAAGATAATAATACCAACACTTTTTTTGTTTCCTCATCTAATTAATAATGATTGTATTAGAAATAATGACTCCGTACTATTAAATTTGTGGATGTGAGTGTGGGTGGGTATAGGTGTGGGTGCTGGTGGGTGTGGATGTGGGTGGATGGGTGTGGATATGAATTCATCTTTTCTTCACCCACACCCACACCCATCCTCAAGAATTACAACTCTCAAAATCTCCATTGAGTAATAAAGTAGTTCCTACGCCACCATTTGTCATAGCAAAAACATTGTCAACATACCTATCTTTTTTAGATTAACTTGTTGCTGAGCTAAATCGAATCCTTGAAACTAGTCGATGTATACGTAAATAAGATGAAGCATGATGCTCATGTTGTTGGTGCTGATGTATCAAATTCGTCTAGTGTTTCGATGTTAGTGAAGTTATAAGCAATTGCTAAAAATACATAAGCAGAATTTTCTGTGAACAAAAAAATAAGTTGTAGATAAGAAGGAATGTGAATATGATATCCATTATCGACTCACGTCCTCAACAAGAAAAAAGATTTTTCTTAACGTGATTAATCTGAACAAGTTCTGATCTTCTTACTAGTAGTGGTCGTTGTTGTAGAAGTATCCGTCGAAAAAAAATAACGAGATAATCAATGTGTTTCTTATAAAAACGTAAGTATTCATACTTGTTGTTATCATAGACGTTGAAGCTAAAATACACATTGAGAATGGCAGCGCTAATTATATTTTATTTACGCAAAAAAAGAAACAGGATGACATATGACAAGAGAAGAACGAGAAATATGAAAAGAAATGAAAAAACTTGTTACTAACCTTTAGTTAAAAAGATTTATCAAAAAAAGTATGAATATGTCGTGTACACTCTTCTATCAGTAGTACATAAGTTTGAGGGTGTGGGTAATGATAAAAGTGGTGTAGTTACACACTCAGATTCACACTCTCACCCACACCCACTCACCCACATTCTCAAGGTGATTTCGAACGTCATGTTCCACTCAGATTAAGTTTTATACTCTTGTATTCATATTTTAGAATGCAAAAACTTTCATCAAGTCTTCAATAGGGGTCACTAGCCCTCAAAATAGACAATTTCAAAAGAAAAATTACTATTTTCTATATCAAAGCGATCAAGAACGATTTATTTTTCATCTTTTCTTATCATCTTATAATAATTTTAAATAACTAACTTTATATACTTGGTCATTGCTAAGCAGTTGAACATAAAAAATGGTTGTCAACATTGTGACAAATTCAATTCTGCTAGAAACAATATATCGTTTTCATACATTCATCATCAAACAAAAACAATGACGACCACTAATAATCAACCAGAACGATTTGATACTCTACAAAGACTTGAATTGGAATCAACTATTGGTTTTGAAGGTTAATATTTATTATAGACTTTTTTCAATATCACCATATCATTAATATGTATAAATTTTAGGAAAAGTTCCTCATGGTCTTAAACTTCACCCAGATCGTACACATATGGTATATCCCATAGGATGTAATTTAGTTATTGAAAATTTACAAACACGACAACAAGAATTTCTTCTCGGACATAACAATAATATTTCAAGTGTAGCTATATCAAATAATGGAAAATATATTGCTTCAGGTCAAGCAACATATATGGGTTTTAAGGTAAGAAAATGCATTTTTTCAATCAATTAATCAATCAATCATTAAAACAGATATTTTTCTTCCAAATAAAATAGGCTGATATTATTATTTGGGATTATGCTACTCGTGAACCATATGCACGACTCGTTTTACACAAAGTCAAAATTGAAGATCTTGTATTTACTTGCTCAGATAGATTCTTAATATCCTTAGGTGGTCAAGATGATGGAGCTATTATCGTATGGAATATTGAAACTAAAGAACCAGTATGTGGTAGTGCAGCTCAACATAAAAGTGCTGGTATTACATATTGTTTAGCTGCAT